GTTATACTCGTAATCGTAGTCTGGCTCGTGGTGAGTAGTATTCGTACTGGTAGTAGCCGTAAAAAGTATAGTCGTCGTAGTAGTATTAGTACTAGTAGTAGTAGTAGTAGTAGTAGTAGTAGTAGCAGCAGCAGGAGGCGCAGCAGCAGCGGCGGTAATTGTCGTCGTAGTAGGGGTTATGGTAGTGGTAGTGATCTCGAAATCTGTTTACTCGTTTGTTCAGTTAATTAGAAACATCAACAGCATGCACACATGACATACGTAACATACATAACATACATACATACCTAACTATCTATCTATCTACCTACCTACCTACCTACCTACCTACCTACGCCCGTACATACAGAATTCACTTCACTTCCGCGTTGCAAAGTCCGTGAGCTCTGCGAACGATGTCGGGACAAGATCCATTAGCACCCGGTGCGAACCACAAGCGAGGCCAACGGCCCGTTCAAAATTCGGCTCGATGGCAGAAAAGAGAAAACGCGGCAAGACTTCAGGCAACTATCCTCAAACTCATATACATACATACATGCATGCATACATGCATACAAGTACATACACAAACACATGCACACATATGTACACATATAATTCCATACATACATACATACAAACATACATACATACATACATACATACATACATACATACCTACATACCTACATACCCACATACGTACATACGTACATACGTACATACGTACATACGTACATACATGCATATACATATATGAATACATGCATATACACATATATTATGTACGCACTGTTGTTGAGGAATTCGTTTCGTTGGCTGACCTACTTGATCACTCACTCCCCTAAGGACTCACTTGCTACCTCTTAAATGGCACACGGCTTGTGCAGCCAAGCCTTGTGCTGCACCGATCAGAGTGATGGCCAGAGCCAAGGCAAAGAACAGCATTAAAGCCTGGAACAAGAAGCCTCCCACACCTCAGATGACCAAAATGGGGCGGTCAGCACACTTTTTCATCCACACTGTAGTTCTCGGCGGGTGATTTTCTGGCACGTGCTTCGGCCGAGCGTCTGTTCGGATCAGCCTGCCTGTGCACAAGCTAAAGAGAGACATGACCGTGAAATCCGCACAGTTGCATCACCCATTCGTCCAAGTCGCTGTTTCTTGCCATACCTCGGCATGCTGATATGAATCCCTAAAGCTCCCGAATCTACTGCAGTTGCCTCGATGCGGCAAGCTCGGCGCTACTTGTCAGTCTGGCTCAAATCATCTTCGCAGAAGAAACATGCATAATGCCCGGACGATACAGGCCCAACAAAGATCGCACCACAAGGCTGGACTCCCGTTCGCAATGCGACCAGAGTGCGTGATCAGGCGGCCCTTCTTCGTCAGGATAAGGACTCCTGAGCTTGGGCTCGACTAGGGGCCTTGGGGGGTTCCTTATTATAAGTATAGTATAATAGGCCCCAAAAATCCTGTTCTAACTATTAAGGCCCCTAAACTTAGGCCCTAAACCCTAAACCCTCATGTTGAGCGTAGCTCCATGACAGCAATCAGGGAGCATCGCTGCATGCAAGTTGCCGGTGTCATCGGGAGGTCCTTGAAAAACGATCAAGGTGGCAGTAGCTACAGAAGCAGCATCAGTCGCAGCTGAATTCATCGTGAACGATGATAGGTGGCACACCGTAACACATCTGTTCACACGCAGGTGCACGCCTCTGTGTGTGCACCTCCACATGACATTTCATGTATAATGATAACAGATGTGTGTATATATATATATATACATATGTTGCACACGCACACACACACACATATATATATATATATATACTCGCAGAGAAGTCGCACTTACAAAATCATGGCTTAGAAGGCATGAGAGATGTGAATGACAGTGCTGCTGGTGTACAATCGTTGTTGCAACTATTTTAAATATGGAGCAATACGGACCACTGGTACTGCCAATGTATGCTAAATAGACCAGAAGATTGCATACCACATGCCAGCGGGTCACAAACTAAACTCTTACGTTCTTACGTGGTTCTATGTCCTTCGATGCGTATCCCTTGAAAGAGTCATGCTAAAAAGCATACTTTGCGCTGCTATATATATATATATATAAAAATAGGGGTAAAATCCCACAATACATACTATCTTAGCCATATGTTGGATAAGCACAGGGCCCATATGTACACAGTGCCGATGCTACTGAACATCGTAGCTGCTGTATTATATGATGAACTTGGCAACACTGCCCTGTGCAGGCATGTGACACCAACTCTCACTTGTCCTTCTGCAGGTCCAAGGCACGAAGAAACACCCAAGCACCACACGTCAGTATGGCATAAACCCACTTCTTCCAGACAGCGACCTGCCACAAACCCTGGCTAATTTTGCAGGGTGACAGCAACAAGCGTTTAGGCAAGATAATGGGTGCCGACATTCAGCAACTGCATCAAGAGTCAATATCCTATACCCTAGAGCCTAAAACCTGAGCCCGATTCCTATTCCTTGTTGCAAGCCGGCTGCAGTGTGGATGTGCATCCGTATAGCCGCTTCGACACCATCGCCGTCACTTTTGAGATCATCGCGCGCAAATCGATGCACCATGCTGGCGAGGAAAGCCCTGCGCAAAGCACGACACAAATTCGCTGGCCTCGTGCGACTGTGTTCCTAAGCATTTGCCGTTGCATTCAGCATGTCGTCTTGCTGTGTGGGCACCGGCGCGTCCCGGCCGGAATGGCCCTGCGTTTTCCCTGACCCCCACCCACGCACGTCTTCCTCGAACGCAGTTCAAGAGGCTCTTGCACTCTTAAGCCATGGCGAGGACTTCCGTGAATAATTTCTGTGGGGCAGAAGCATTGCATGTGCCCACTCAGCCGAGAAGTGGAACGCAAGGGGACATGAGTGTAGTGCTGCTGCGACTTGTATGGCAGGAAATGTTGTTGCATTCTCCTTTGCCTTCCTCTCCCACTTCCCTAGCCCCCCAAGTACCTACCAAATAGCCCCTAGGGCTAGTACCCTATATAGTAGGTACCTGGGGGGTTAGGGCTTGTTCTGCACATGGGTACAAGACCTTCGTGCAACACGGCACTGTTTCAACATATTCCCCATTGCGTCCGGTGCACCAAACAACAACACACTCCCCATGCTACCAGCCGATTCGACCTCCCGTTCAGACATCTCCAAGATGCTTGACTTTCCACGACGGCCCCAATCCTCTACACACTCGCCGACTCACTCTCTCTCGCCGACTCTCTCTCTCGCTCTCTCTCTCTCTCTCTCTCGTCCTTCCTTCTGAGGGGTGGGGTGTAGGGTTTAGGGTTTTCAGGGCATCCGGTCTACTAGGTACGTTCACTTCCCTCCTGTTCTGAGTATGCGGCAGCTCTCAGCAAGTATTGCGACTGCAAAGGAAAACAAAGTTTGCACTCAGGGTGAACTCCTCCCAAAACCCCCTCACCCTGAGCCCCAAACCCTAAACCC